CAGTGCAGATCAGGGGCGTGTGCTCATGTTTTTGACGGCGCGATACCAGGCAGATTGCGTGCGCAATTATTCGAGTTAACGGCTGCTTGTTCAAAAGTCGCTAGCAAGCTCGCATAGATTGACGCCAAGATGCATGTGTTGATTCAGAGTCTTACTGTAGCTGAGGAGGGCTCATCGGACGTGTGTCTCGGACGCACTAGCCACTGTAAGTAAAATCCAGTCCGCCTGCAGGCTGTTTGTTGACTCTTGTTGTGATGAAATCGTTGCAGGCTTGCTGCTGCTGCCTCCCCCAGTGAGGCTGCAAGTCGCGCGACAGACAAATTATAGAATAGGCACCCCATGCTTGCAAGGCACAGTCTGGAGTGCACCTCTTTGCTTGATTTGCGGATGTTGAAGCGGGTCGAGCAGGCAACTTCGGCCGGGGACGACTGAGTAGAGACTCGACAGAGAGTCGATGATCCGTACAGCCCAGTGCTCAGAGAGTCTGTTGGTAACTTTAGTTTCGGGCGTGCCCGTCAAAGCTGATAGAGTGTCAAATGGCACTTTGTTGCCTGGGGCCCAGTCTGACGCATCACGGGGCTTAGGTGGATAGGCAAATACGGCGCAGTTGTGATTCGCGCAAAAAAGGGAACAAAACGCACGGAGCAGGGGCTATCTACTGTTGGCGCAGATTTGCCCAAGCAACCCGCACGTGAAACCCAACGTGGAACTTAGATGATTGAAGGCTGCTTGCTTGCAGCAATGTGCAAGCCTTCGTTTCACCAGCAAAGCAGCCGACTTCCCCAATTTGGGAAGCCCGATGGGAAGGCAACGCTTTCGAATTCAATGGTGGTTGCACCACTAGGCCAGATATCATGGAAATCCTTTGTTAACCACCTCTACCTGATGATCTGATGTGCGCTTAATCCAGATAAATCGGCTAGTTTTCTGCAGGTGAGTCAGAGTCGCAGCTTGTTTAAGGCTTTCGGTCTCGGCGAAAAGAAAGGGTGGGCGGACGTATGGGCATGAACTCCCCCCCCCTCCCCCCAAAAGACAAAACAACACCACGAACCACAGGGCCCCAACGAGGAACCCAAACTCCAGCTTTGCCTGCCGTGTGCGAGTGCGAGTGTCGAAGCAAGAGCCGCATACGCCGGTGTGAGAGTCGAAGCTTGAAACTTTAAACCCTCAACCCAACCTTAAACCACCAAGGCCCTAAAGCCTAACCCTGCTGGTGTGAGCAGGTTAAGAGGTTGGTACGAGGTGCGCAGTTCTTCCGTGCCCCAGAACTTCCACACGCAGATTTCTTTTGCACTCCTTTGCAAGAAAAAGTGATGATGGTACGCCCCGTTACGCCACCCCAGGTGTTGTGGATTGCACATGATTGCACATTTGTCGCATGCCCCGTGGTGCCACAGCCCGGTGTTTCATACTTTACACCTGCTGGTGTGACCCAGCAGGTAAGTTGGTCTGCACGAGGTCAGTGCGCAGTTCCCCCGTCCCAGAACTCCCAACTTCCGTGGCTCACATGTACACGGAGTTCCGTTTACACTCCAGCAAGAAAGCAAAGTCATGATGTCTGCGTCAAGGTTCATCACCAGCGACATTGTTTGTGATTGGAAGCGCAGCAGTTTAGTTGCCCAAGCGATGCCGTTTGGGGAGGCGAGTTGGAGCCCAATTCAGGATGGTGCACAGCGTGGAGGCCGTGGCTCCAAGTCAGGTCTGCACTGGATAAGAAATCCTTTCCAGGAACAAGGTCGTCTGGGCTTCTTATGTTAGAAGCGTTCGCTTGTGAGTTTGAGGGTCGAGGCGCGGGGCATGAGAGTTTTCTTTTTGAAGCTTGGTCTGGTGCTAGAATCTGTCAGAGTCAAAGACTTACAGGTGCCTCTGGTAGAGTCCTGGCCTTGAACTTTGCCCCCGCAGGATGCCTGGACTTGCTGGATCACCCTTGGATTGACACTTGTGGGCTCATTGGCCTTCGATGTGAGCAGCTCAGAGATGCTAAGACTGCCAAGCTGTGCATGTCTTTTCGTTCAGTGCATCACTGTCCAAGGTAGGGTTCTCACCTCCCAGGGTTGGGGCATTGTCCTTCCAGACGGCTGCCGCCTGGCAAATCAATTTTGACGTTTTTTGCAAAGCGCCCTTGATTTGCCTTATTTGCGGGTCAGCTCCTGTAAGCGTAAGAGAGCCTTTTGCCTTGCTCAAGGCAACACTGACATGCTTCTGGTTTTGCATGGCCTTGGTCTTCGATGCGTTCCTGCTCAGTCGGGATGCTCAAAGCTTTCGGCAAATTTTGCAATTCTAACGATTTCTGACGTTCTGAAATATGAGTTTGGACTTCGCCGGTGGTGACTAAGGCTACTCAGGTTGGGAAGCAAGCTCGGGCTTCATGCAGGGCTTCCTGCTGGAGTGCCCGGAATATTCAACATGACATACGTTGACATACATGATTCAACATGGCAGAGGTGACGTTTTGCCGGCATCATGCAAGGCTGCCTTTGCCAGCGTGATGGGTTGTGTTTCTGGTCAAGCGTAGACCAGAGACTCTGGCATCCTGAGGTTACGCACCGATGCTCGAAATGCGCATCGTTGTCATACGTTCAAGAAATTCTGACCCCACATCGTGCAGTTCGTCGGACTTCAGGGTTTGCCGGCCAGTGTTCCCACGCACATTGGGCATGGGGCACTCCTTTATAGTGGCAAGGCGTTTGTTCAGGTTTGTTCTGACATGGTATTTTGGGTGCCGCCAGTGGGTCTAAGGTTTATGGTTGCACCCTGCGAAGAAGCCCCACCACACCCACCAGCGAAAGCTCAATGATGCTTATGATGCAGCGAAGGCCCACAATAAAACAGGGTTGCAGATTTAGCCCTAAACGATGTGGAAGTTTCGACATCCTGAAAACTCTGAACAAAGCAGGTGGGATTTGCTGAGGCCAGGCTGAGGCATGCCGCGGCCTGGCGACATATGCGAAATGCGGGTGTGTGGGTGTGTGTGCGTGTGTGCACGGGCGGTCGACATGAAGCAAACCTTCAATGTTGCAATTGGCTAGCTGGTACGGTGGTTTCAGCAACGCTCTGGATGTTCTCGGGCTTTGTTGTGTACAGGTACATGCTGAGCTTTGACAACCTTTTCGTGTAAAGCTTGGCTGGCACGAGCACAGAGTAGCGGGCAGTTTCCAAGAGCATTTCACTAGTTGTGATTCAGACGAAGCTCTAGAAGCTCTGCAGGTCTTTCATTTGGTGTTTTCCTACTACTGCACACCGGAGGAGCAGCGATCCGCAATCACGATCAATGAGTTGAACTGAACTCATTTGAATTCCCCTTTGCCCTGCAGATGTCTGCAGCAGGATTTGATGTACCGAGCCCTGTACTTTGGCATCGCTGGCGCCATTCTCTTGCGGGTGCCCTGCCTGCTCGTCCAGATGACACCACATCCTGTTGCGTAGTTGTCGCGTTCACTGCTTGGCTGTAGGCCTTGCTGCGCCTGAGGTGGTGTTTCTGTCAGTTGGCTACACTGTGCTGAACCGGCTGGTGCTGGTGAAACTCGTCTTTGGTGCCGCACAGATTTCGCAATCATGTCGACAGGTTCTGTATCCCTAAGAAGCACGGGATTGCTCGCATGTATCTTCAACTTGCACATTTCGCAAGCGTAGGTGTGATCCTTGTCTACAGTGGCTTAAAAACAGCTGCTGATTTGGAAGAGGAGCCCTGTGTGAAATCCTGTGAATGTAGACTGTCAGTGTGAGCGAGGTCTGAGGTTGGCGGCGCCATGCCGAGAAATGACTTGAATGTAGGAAACAGACCCCAGCAAGAACCAACTGGTAAAGGCCTCAGATGTGCAAACTTTTGGAAGCCTCGGCTTCTGCATCGCCTCTGTTGCAACATGCTTTGTCTTTGACTCTTTTTGAGGTCGCGCTGGCAGCAAAGGTCTGGTGCTCGTGCAAACAGCTGCGTAATTTTATCCTCCTCAGACAAAGCACAAGTACGAATGCCCTGTTTAAGGTTCTGCCTATCAGACAAACCGGCATGACTTGTCGATGTTGTTTTCAATTCAGTGGAATCTCTCGATTGCGTGGCCGAGCAGTACGGCAGGCGACCACTACGAGCCACATGGGCATTTCTTCCTTGATGAGGATTCCAATGACCTCATTCCGCATGGTCCTCCGAAATTGTGGTGCTTAAGAGCTTATTTGAGTCGAAGGTTTTGAGAACCGAACGCCGAGACTTTTCTATCTGTCCTACTTCCTACTTTTGCGAGTATGTGGACTTGACAATGCTTGATAGCAATATGTAGCCATAGATGATTCTACGGTCCACGGTGCGAAAGGCGTCAACGCGGTCGGTGAGGCCACAAAGCATCAACAAAAAACATGTTTCCGACAACATGGCATCATAGCGTCACCGGCGCGTCCATAACTTGAGCGGCCATAGTTCTCCTGCTCAGCGGGCACGACCGACTGAGGTCAAGATGGTTTTTGTGCATAGAGCTCGAAAAGGAACCACCCCCGCACCCCCCACCCCCTCACTTGTCTTAGATTAGCTCCAATTGACTTGCGAAAACGTCTTTAACCGCATGCCGTATAACGTCCAGGGTGGGGTTAGTCACGGTTAGTCGCTGTATCCAGCATCCCTGAAAAAAAACAGTTTCGAGTGTAAAATCTACCAGCTACCCGTGCGTCATGTCCGAAGGCATGTCGTTGTCGGGTTGGGTGCCGCGCTCCAGGCAAAAGAGATGCCAGCAAACAGTGTCGACTTCGGCCGCCGTTGACGAGCGCATGTCCGTGGCCGCAGTCATTCATCGCACCGTCGACACAATGAAATCCGAGCACATCTAGGTCTGAGCCTTGCCCTAAAGCATCTCCAGCTACTCCGTCATCAGCGACCGGCATCAAACATCGCCCTCCGCCAGACAGCATGTGATTTTCTTCCGCTGGGGCGATCATGTTATTGTGCGAAACTGAAGGCGCAATGTCTTTATGAAGTGGCACAGCACGCAAAGTTATCAGCCTGCTGCATCTCTTCGGTTTTCAAGCCCTACACCGCCGGAAACGCAGGACCACCGTCGCTGAATAAGAACAGCTCGTTCATCGGCATATGAGAGAGCACTGGATGATGGCTACTGCCCTAAACACTCCAGCGTGACCGCTGAGTGCGGATGTCCGATTGCAACATTGTTTTTGCTTCGTGAACTTTACACGTATAGCCTGGATCTGCTCGGTCTGGCTAAGTCCAGCAGCAAGCTCAAAAAATTGCGAAAAGTTGCAACAACCCTTTTTCCAGACCATGCGAGGAAAGATGTGCTGCAGGTTGCCAACAAGACTTCAATAAAAAGTGTCTAAAGAAATCCACAAGCAGAGGAGACCGTGCGAGATGACATGTCGGATCGAGGGCGCAGCCCGTCCCTTGAGGCTGGAAGTTTGAAGGATTGGAAGGGGTTGCAAGTCTGGTGCAAGGCATTGCAAGGCCCCGCAACCTGCGCAGTAGCAAGACTTCAATGCGGCTGCAGGGATTATTGGCAACAGAAGATGCGGCCACTGCCTCAGGGTTGCCTGGCTGACTGCTTCATGTTCACAACGTTTCAACACCAAAGGCTTTCAACACGCTGCCGCGCTTGGAGTCTTTTGAGGCAAGTGACATATTCGTACACCGTCAACTAAAGAATCGTTACCGCTTGGGGTCAGAGTACCACTGATGCAGGGAAGCAGCCTCCTGCGAGCCCCAGAGGACTTCTACCTTCAATTTGATAGTCCCAGATTAACTCGAGACTTTCGAATGCCGGCAGGTCATCTACACTGAATCTACAGCACAGAACATCACAGAACCATAAGAGACCGACCCCACATCATCAGGGACATCAGGGCGCACTATCTCCAAGCAGAAATTTCTCACAGTCATTGATGCAGGACAGAGGGCGCCCCAGCAATCCGCGTGAAGGCACTTCCGTGAGATCTGGTGATGTCGTTCCGATGAGCAGGAAGGAGGTCGGGGAGGATGGGAGATTGAGGCTCGGAGCTATTTCGTGCTCCGCGTGCGCGCCCGAAGGTGCTCCCCGTCCACGGCTTCCATTCATGCATATATTGCGTGCTGCGATTGACTGCCTTGGCTTTGTCACATGAAGCAGATCGCAGTGCCAGGCATCGTTGCTATTGCTGGTGGTGATCGCGCTTTGGGCTGTGGATGTGGCACGCGTCCAAGACTTGAGACTTCCAGTGAAGCAATTGCCCCACAATGCTCATCAATGCCCTAAAGCCTGCGCTCCCTCTCCATTCCGCAGAATTTTTTGCCGCAGCACAGATCTTTGCTATCGACACCGTTGCTTCGAAGCTTGCAGCAGTGGGGCTCTCAGTGCCGGCTACGTCTTAAGCCACACGAGACGACGTAGTGACGACGTGTTCATGTTGAGACACTTCTTAGGATTGCTGGTCCGTGTCTTGTCAGTGTCTTGTCTTGTCAGGAGAGCTGTACGGAAACCACTGAGGGCAAGTGTGCAGTGGGACACAAGGGAGGATAGACCCCAGCACGGGCCCGGCAGCTTTGTTTGAGATCCTGCGCAGCTACTTTTGTGTCTATCTGTGCTTGGCAGCGCGCATGTTGGCTGGAACTGTCTCAAGCACCACAGGCTTCCTTCTGTCTTCGGGCGGTTTTTTTGGCCGATCTCTATCTACCAAAACTTGGCTGCGATCTTGTCCACCGTACAGACTCCGGAAGCTGGCTTGTCAGATTCAAATGCTTACTCAGAAACTTGCTGAGAAACGTGGGCCTTTGTTTGCCTGCGTGGTGAACGTGAAGTATCTGGCTGGAGCCTGGCATGCCTACCATGCCTAGCAAGTCGCAGGTCAACGATGTTTTCTTAAACTGCGCCTCCTCCGCCTTTGCCATGATGGGGCTCAGGCGCATGGACTTGCACCCATCCACCCACTCACACACCCGCGCGGCGCGCGCTGGCGCACGCGTGCGCCCACGCCCACGCGCACCCGCACCCGCACACAAGCGCGCACGTATTTTGCCTGGCACGTTTCATGCCAGGTCGCTGTACTTTATCATGGAGTCCTTGGTTCAGACCTTCTACATGTTGAAGTACGGGATTGCTGCCGTCCTCATACTTATCGGGCAGCATGGCAGCATGAGCAGAGAACTGGACAATTTGATGCTGTCATCCTGAAGATTTCTGACGTTGCCTCGTCGTGCTTGAAGCGTAGTCCGCTGCTTCGCATCTGTTTTTCACGTTGCACCATGCGTGGCACATCTCAATCTCGGTCAGCTGGCAAGGTTGAAGCTGTTTTTCTCCCCGTGGCTGGACATCTCCAACTCCGTGATGTTTGTCACGATTATCGTGATTTGTGCAGCCAGTGCTGCGTCATCGTGCGCCCAATTTTCTAGACATTCCGCGAGCTTCCCTCTACAAACTACAACCTGCATCTAAATATTGCGACTTCCCACAGAACGCTGCCTCCCCATCGGAAGATGACACCGGCAGGTTCTGACAACAGATGATGCTTACATGTATGATCACGGTCGGCGGTTCGCCGGGCCCCCTTCCCCCTTCCCATGGTATCCCCCCTAAACCCTAAACCATCCGAACCCTTAAGCCCTAAACCTGTTTGCATCCCAGTGAATAGCTGGCGTCTTGTTAAGTAGATGTCACGAAGTTTGCTCCTGGTTGAGGAGCGGCAGTGGATGCATGGTTTGGTGATGGTGATTGTTGGTGTTTCGACAGTTTGGGGGTACCAACCCCCCAACCACACCGCGAAGGGGGGGGGGCCTTAAACCCTAAAGCTACGCACCGTGTGGCAGCCTAGACACCCTCAACCCGAACCCCAACCCCCCAACCACATGGGGGACCGGGCGCCCTAATCATACATACATGCTTAGGTGGTCAGAGGCTTTAGGCTCAACAGACTCGTTAGACCTTTCAGCGGTGCGAGTGGCAGCAAGTACAAGGTAGGATGTGCTGGAGGCACAACAGGCTTGTTGAAGAAGCTTCGAAAGGGTCAGTCGTGTTTAAGATTTATAGCTGTGCCGAGAAACGTGCCGTCCTGCTTGTGTGACCTTAGAAGTGTTCTGTGGAATTTCTTGCAGGTACTGGGTTGAACAAGTTCCGGATACCTGCAAAGGCAGATTCGTCACGAAGACTCGTTTTACTTGGCCGGCTTGCCGGTTCTTGGATGTGTCCCTGGATGTGTCCTTGGGGTAGATGAGCTGGGTCAGGTGCGAACGGCCTGGAATCTGAGGAGGCTCGTTGAGCCTGTTGCCTGCTGACTGGAGAAGACCTCATGACATCTCATGACTGTGGAGGACCTCGAGCGCACAGATAGAGGCCTTGAGCGAGAGGCGAGTGCCGCAGCAATGTGCCACGCCACTATGCATCGCAGTAGACACCACTACACAGCTGCGGCATGCTCCAGCTGGGCAGGGTGCCGATTCCCCCACAAACCAAACTATGTCCATCACCCAGTTGCAATGGCTATGAGGCTATTGTTCGCAGAACTGTCGTGTGCAGCGAGGGGGTGTGTTCGCTACGTGCAGTAAGCATTGAGGCTGGAGGAACGAATGGAGCCTGCTGCGCACCCAGATGGTTGGACCTACGCATCATAAGTGCCCATTTGCTTTATGACTCACGTGGTGTGACTTGAGGGTCACGAATGGTGTAATTGACAGCAGCACAGTGCCACAAGTTTCAGTGCACGAGTACACGAGCAATGTCGAGAGCAACCGCAGGTCACACCTTCCAGGCCGGTGCCACTGAGAGTTCAGGCGTCTGAAATTTCTGAGCCGTTGAAGTTCGAGCAATTTGAACATTTCGAGCTCCAGCCGGTAACAGGGCCATCAGAGCCATCAGAGCCAAAGGACAAGGACTGGCCTCACGAGTCCGAAGTGGGGCACAATCCAAGCAGGGAAAGCGGTGCCTCACTCCGAGCCGGAACTGAAGAGGATGGGGGAGACCAAGGTGACCAGGCCGATCCTGGCGAGCTGAGTCCAGCACAGACAGAGGAGGAATTGGTGCTGGGAACAAAAAGGCTAGACTCGCTAGACCGTTGTGGTGCTGAAGAGCTTCGCACCTTCGAGAATTTCGAGAACGCAGATCCAGGAGCCACAGTGGGAGTCTTTAAATCCACGAAGATTGCCCTGCAAGCTCATACATGTGAATACCTTGGCAATGAACCGGCACAGGAGTAACGGCAGTGGCAGCAGTGACGAACGCTGAAGACGGGGAACCCCTCCAGCTTACGGCGTTCGGCTGAAAAGCTTTGCCTGCTATGCCACTTTGCGTCATTCTTGTGTGACCTTTTTCCTCAAACCGAGAGACAACATTGTCATTAAGGGGTTCAACTCACACTCTCGCCCAGGGGCGGGCTTGCATCTGTCCTTGAAATTCACCAAATGCGAAACTGTCCGTCGCTTCGGTCGATTTTGGGCGTCTGGGTTCGCCAATGCGAGATGTGTCGTCGCCTTTGGGCGTCTAGCTTCGCCAACGCGAGACTGTCATTCATGGCTTTGGAATTTTGGGCTCACACGGTCTCTCACTAAACGCTGTTTGGGGTCTGCGCTGGCACAATTTGACATTCCTAGGAAATTTCGAAAAGCATGTGTCCCCTCCAGATCTTGTTTGCATAATCCGCTGTGAAATAGTTTCTTTCAGTTCAAGAGAGAAGCATGTGTTTAGTCTAGAATTCAAGAGTCAAACTTTTGCTTGGAGAGAAGAACCTGTACTTATTCTAGATTTCCATCGCATTTCGAGAATTTCCATAGAACCCCCTCGCGGAATGAGTAAAAGAATGAAGAACATGTCGAGGAAATGCAGGGTGGAACTAGGGATAAATTAGTAAATTAATTGCTATTACGCATTAACTAGTTCTACTATGACATGCGTTTGTTGTTTACTATTTCTACTCGTATGTCTAGTTACTATAATTTTCTATGTACGATTAGTATTACTATTGCGATTACCGTTACTCTTACGACTACGTTACTAGTACTCTTACTGTTGCTATTATGATTACTAGTATTGTTACGAATGATAAAATATTATAAATACTATACCTGTTACTAATTACTATTACGGTTACTATTGCTATGGCGAGCAATGTTAATCCTAGATTACGAACAGTATTATTACCAGTACAAATGCTAATTACTAGTTTCTAATGACGATTACTATCGCTACTCACTAGTTACTAAGTACCAATTACTATTTTTCATGACTCATGACTAGCTTCAAATTGCTATTGCTATGTAGTTACTAACTAACTAATGACAATTACGAATACTTGTACTATTACTATTACTACAATTACTACTATTACGATCACTGTTGCTATCACGATAATTATGCTGTCGCTCTACAAAGGCATGCATATGAATACATGTATGTATATGTATATATGTATGTACACAAGTATATCTATACAATACATATTTCGAATTTAGATATACGGAATATTCATATTGAGTTTCAAATTTATATGAATAAGTGTAACATTGTGAGCGCCAGTGGCATCCACTAACGTGTTGTGTTAGTTCATTAAAACCCTTTGACCCTTGGAATTTAGGGGGGGTTGAGGCTGTGAGTTTTTCAGGCGGTCTGCTTTGCAACAAGGTTACTAATTGCTGCGGGTCGGGGGAAAGCCTGAAATTTCGACTTCTTTGGTGGACGGGGAGGTGAAACAGGATACAAAGCAAGAACTAAACAGGATTTGTGTACTTCGAACATCCCCACCCTGGGATACTCTGGGGTTGGGCACTCCAGCCCTCCAACTCCTCCCCCCTCCCCCCGCTCTTTTAAGCCGGCCGACGGGAAATTTCCGAAGATAATCGAGAGACGATGTTCTGCACAATCTAGAGAGGAAATAGAGTAGTGTATTTTCGGAATTAAATTGAAGGTTTTCCTCGGAAAACAACGAAAAGCAAAGCCAACAAACATCTCCATCCATTCCATGTGCTTGAGCATGCCGTGCATGTGGAAGGGGTTTGTTCGAGCCTTGCGCAGCCTTGCGCAACAAGCACCTGGCAAAGTCATGCATTCTGTTTGGCTGCGCGGTTGGCTTAAGATGCCTTAAGACAGCGTTCTGCTGGCCTGCTGGCAATGTTCGTGTCCATCTCAGAATCAACCGCACCCCAGTTGAAACGGGTGCGTTTCCTTCGCTTCGTTGGCTCAGGATTGAAGCGGCTGCACTTCAGCCCCACCCACGGAGAGGTGTGGCCGAATTCAGCTACAAAAGCGGCGAGTCATCACGACTGATAATTGGTTCGCTGGGACGAATGCACTTGTGGTATCCTGTGCCACTTCTGATTGCTTCCCTCCGCATAAGTGCGCAGACCCTGTCTAGTGCTCTGTGCTGGATCTTTTGTTTGGACAGGACTCAGCGCTGTAGACGTCAGCTATGCAGGCAGGGCTTAGGCTTAGGAGCTGCAAGTTGCAGGGGGTTCAGAGCCTTGCACAGGCTACATGGCCGCTGATTTTCTTGGTGCTGCTGCTGGGCGCTGCTGTGGCACTGTTTCTTGGCGTTAGGTAGAAGCAGGAATTCCGACGGAATTCCGCGCATTCCTGCCCGTGATGTGGGCACACGTGCCCTTGTGCGCTTCTTGAACATGGTCCAAAGTATGAAACTTGTGATCTTGCAGATCCCTCGAAGGTGCAGCGTCCTCATTTACGTGACGGAGTTGTACAGGCATGCTTCGGCGCACCACTGCAAACAACGTGATCAAGGGTGATTTGGACCTGTACCGTGGCCAGGCTTTGTCCGGCTTGGGCGCCTATCCGTAGCTTCGATCAGGATTTACTTGCAGCTACACTTTCTGTAGCTGGAGAACTGCCACCACCCATCCACGAGTTGTGAGCATGCTGTTTGCGTCAATCAACCATCAATCCGTTTGCGCTTTCCTGTTCCTATTGTGGCTACACGCATGGAATATAGTTGGACGAGCTGATGAACACATGTGCCTGCAAGAGTTGGTGGACTCAGTACGGAGAGATCGATGCAGTCACTTCAGGCTTTTCAGCGACAACCCAATAGGCAGTGCCATGTGGGTTTCCTGCCAATTGTCTGGCAAAGTTCCGGTCCAGAGGAGTGTGAAGAGCAAATTTGTGAGGCAGCTTTTTGCGCTGGTTGTTTGTGTTGTTCTCGTCATGTCCGACAAAAACATCTGTGTTTGGAAGGTGCAAGCTTTGACTGAGAGCTTGTTGCCCTATGTTGCTCTCCACATCATTACAGCAAGTGTATTCTGTGTATTCATCTGTGAATGATGCAGCAACTCATGAGTCAATGATGGTTTGATATGTTTTGAAGGAGTTCTGCAGACGAAAGGTTTTGTGCAGAGTTGGATGTCCCTCCTCCTCCTCCTCCTCCTCCTCCTCCTCCTCCTCCTCCTCCTCCTCCTCCTCCTCCCTCAACCAAACCTCCGAACCCCCCGACTCGGTCAGGCTTTCCCGTTGCACAGCAAACATATTTCGTTGTGCAAACCCCAAATGACCACAGCAGCGATTTCGGCAATGCATTTTGGATTTGTCGTGCTTGGCCTC